TGTGCTCAGAGGAGTATGAAAATACAGCGGGAGACGCGTGCCCAGCCAGGAAACACCTGGAATAATGCCATTCCCTGTGGCTGTGGAGGGAGCGGGTCGTGTTCCAGATGTTCCTGGTGGCACCTCCACTGTGTGACGCTGCTTTTCTCGGCCCATGGGCTGTTTCCACACACATACGGAGCACCCACGGGTTCCTTTGCCAGCGGCCTTTTTGGGGCAGCACCGAGAGCAAACCCATGGAAAGAGGCTGATGTGGAGGCGGCTGATTACTCCTGTGTGACACCGGGCGGGAAACCCAGTGCCTGGGTACACATTCCTCATGTATTTTGCTGCGGGACACTAATAAAGTTGCTTTGCCCAGCTGGTGTATTGTGGTGCTGTGAAGGGAGCGGGCTCGGCTCCCTCCCCCCCGCCATTCAGATGCAAATCAGCTTTGTGCTCATTCCTCATAATTGCTCTGCATCCCGCCTTGGGCTTCCAGAGGCACCCAGGAAACCGTGTTTGCTCAGGCTGCAATTTAGACTATACATTATTTGTGATAACTATAGCTACAAGGTATAATTGTGCTGTCTGATTTAAACATTATGGATTTCAGTGTGTTTTACACATGCCCATAAAGTCCAGGATCTGAGGAGAAGTGCTTGCACAGGTCAAAGTCACGATTGCTGTTTCCATAAAGCATCCATTAAAATGGAAAGCAGCCTGTTCTGTAGTTAATGTTTTAAACTGCATCTAAATTTCAGAGCTGAGCCTTGGCAATGTTACATTATAATTTTATTTACCTTGATCAGCTTATAATTTACTGTATCAAGGTTATTGCTTGTCATGTTACCAAAACACTGATCAGAATTAAGCTAAATAGGTCTTGGGGGATTTTTGCCAAATTTATTGTGTTTTCAAGCATTTTAGCCCCTTGAGGACAGAATAAATAACTGAATTATGGTTTTCATATACCTTTAATGTGCCCAGAGGGTTAAGTGAACCTGCTCCTGCCGTAGATGTTAAAGGGTTAATGGAGTAGCTGAGCTGTGGAGCTTGTTTTAGCTATAATTATTTAACTGCTTTTACACAATGTGAGTTTTTTCTCTCCTGGTATTAATATAATGGTCTTGAAGGTCACATCCCTCAGGCTGTTCAGTGGCTCCCTCCAAAATACATTCATTACTCCCCCCAGAATTCAATCCACTAATGTGCTCTAAACCACACCCCATCCGTGAGGATGTACAGACAGATTTATGGGTATTTAGCTTTTAAATAAACGGTCGCGTCATTTTATGCTACAAACTTTGAGCATCAGGTCAACAACAGATGAAAACAGTTCACCTGATGGGAGCTGCTTTGGAAGCACAACGGGGGCAGGGGGGCTCGAGGGGCAGTGACCGGGGACCACAGCCCCAGCACGGTGTTACCCAAGAACTGCTCCTCAGAAGAGCATGTCTATGTCTGGAGAGGTTGAATTGTAGAATCCAGCCTGGTTTGGGTTGAACAGAGCTTAAAACTCATCTTCCACTAGAGCAGGTTGCTCCAAGCCCCTGTGTCCAACGTGGCCTTGAACACTGCCAGGGATGGGGCAGCCACAGCTTCTCTGGGCACCCTGTGCCAGCGCCTCAGCACCCTCACAGGGAGGAGCTTCTGCCTTGTACCCACCCAAATCTTCCATTTTAAGTTCAAACCCATTACCTCTTGTCCTTGTTCAGGCCCTGTTGAAGAGAATGTGTCAGATAATTTCAGCCTTAAAACCTCCCATGTGGTGTCAGGGGGTGATGCTGTGCTGCACAGTGGGGGGGGGGGGCCAGAAC